CATTTCGACTTTTCATTTCGACTTTGACCTCCAAAGTCGAAACATTTCGACTTTTTGGGTTTTCATTTCGACTTCATATATAGTTGCAACTATGTTGCAACATATGTTATAACAGTGGTATGTTGCAACATATTCATAAAGGCTACCATCTTTATTCGTGAAAAAATGGAGGAGAATTATAACATCTATATATTAAAATCAATATTGTAAAATTACATGCAACCATGACACCCAGGAACAAAAGAAGCTCATAGACACTACCATTTTGCACAAATTCACCTTGCAGCTATCGGAAGAATAAAAATGAATGTTCATATTGATGAACATTACTGTTTAGCGTCGATAAAGGTATTAGATCTATTGAAATAACTTTTTCACAAGAAGTTTTAATGATCTTGCAGGATGATAAAGCTAAGGTATGATTAATATTATTATTCTTTCTTTCATTATAGTTGATTATTAATTCTTTTTAGGTTTATAGGTTCCGCTTGGAATGGCAGCTGTTGGAAAAACATTTAAGGCTCTACAAACAGCAAATGAACCTGTATCAGTTTCCGATCATAACTTTTTGAAAGCTTCAAAACATAAGCTAATTCTGTCAGTCTATTTAATTATCAACCCCTCTGATACGATAATTAGTTACGTTCCGGTAAAATGCGAATTTTATTCGCCCAGAGTTTTTTTAGGTATAAATTGTGAAACTCATGTAATAGACCTTATGCAAATTATAAGAGAAGTCACATTTTATGAGTTTACACATCATGAAAATTCTGTAAAGCCATTTTGGTGTATTTTAACTGATGGTGGACTAGATGAAAATCTGCGATTTCTTGCCAATATACTGAAGTACCTATTACTATTCAAAAAGTTTGACCTGGATTATCTAACCATCCGAACACATACTCCAAGATAATCAGCATATAATCTAGTAGAAAGAAGCATGGCAACACTTTCTAGTAAGTTGGCAAGCATTGAACTGGATGCATTTGTATTTGGCAAACATATTGGAAGTGTCGATGGGAAAATTACTGTTAAAGATGAAAATCTTGCACGTTGTAACTTTAAGTATATTGGTGAAAAACTTTGTGAACTTTGGAGACGGGACAATATTAATAGGCATCTTGTAATTACTACATACATTGAAAATCACAATCAAGCGGATTTTTTAGACATAAAATAGGAGTCTTGGGAATGGATTAATCAGTATGCTTAAATTTGCAAGTATTCACTTGATTTGAGAAAATGCAAAGATCGAAATTGCTGTAGAGAACCACATGCACCTGAAATTTATGACCTTTTATCTAAAAACAATGGTTTTTTATCACCTATTGTACAAGGTCGTGATGGCCATTTCTTAAGTTTGGTCTATTCTTTAGAATATTTTGGAAATTTACCAGGATATGATGAACACTGTCCTAGTATTACCTCGGAATTGTATAGCAATCTCAAATGTCAAAAATGCTTCAAATATTTTCCGTCCAAAACCTTTTTAAAGCAACATGCGAAGCTTTTTCATCTGAAAAGTGCAGAAGTAGGGATTAAAAAACAAGATGCTATAGAAGATAATTGTATAAAAGTAAGTGTATCTTCTAATATAATAAATGATGATTCACAAAAGCAGAAAAAAAATATCACAAAATTGAGAAAAATTGCAAAACTTTGGGAACAAGATCATCTTACGTTTAAAATTAATGATTTTAAAAATTAGAACAATTTTAATATTTTTGAACAATTAATATAATATACTTTTTTTTTATTTTTCGAATACTGCTTAAACTTTTAATCATAAACTTTTAATAAATAATGCAGAAATTTAATTTCGTGCAATATGCCATCTCGCGAGAAAACTACGTAATTTATCGATTTTCTAAATGGAATTAATGACAGGGGGGATGAAACCCGAAAATTAAAATGATATTATATCTGTCCCTTCTTGCATAATACTAATGTGTGACAGGTTATGCTGAAAATGTGACGCAGTTGTCAATTAACTTGTCTGACTACACATTCAGCAGTAAACAAATTAGACGCGATCACGTGTTTCAGTGATCTAAACAATTACAGTTTATGCCGCTTTGATAAACATAATATCACAATATCTTATGCCTTTGATTGAGATTTTTTTTCGTCATTTTTTCACACATACTTTCTTCTCAAACAAAACGAATGTCTTTGACACACAAAAGTGTCTTGTTATAAGAAAAAATCAAATAAATTTTATAAGTATTTTATTAGTTAATAAAAAATTAAAGTTTAAATAAGTTACACAATTTAAGTTGTGACTGTGAAACATATAAAATATGAACCGCTCAGAAAATACTTCACAGGTAAAAAATTTGGCATATAATAATTTATCATATTTATTTATTATCATTATACTGTATAAAATGAAGCTTTAATTTTCTGCATATTATATAGAGTTTTATCTTTAATTTTTACTATATTAATTTTTAATAAAATTATCATTATAATAAAGTTTATCAATTGATTTTTTTATTGTTATATTTATTATAAAATTTTTAAAGTTTATTATATGCATTATCTTGTATTTACTTAATTATTTATCTATTTTATAGGTCTTTTTTTGGTATTTCCTTCCGGAAGTATTAAAACAAGTTCTTTCTCAGGAGAGTATATATCTAATCAAAAAGTTTAATGAATTACCTCCATATCAAACTGCTGAGAATTTTGACATTACACAATTTGAGCTAAAAGCATATGTAAATGCAAATTGTGAAGAAGAAGCATACAAGTAGTTTACTTTATTTGAATCATATTCAAAAACAACAATGCCGCAAATAAGGGGTTTAATATTAAAGGAAACTGTATCATTTTTAGAGAACTATGTCACTGTATTCATAGTAATAATGTAAAGAAAAAACAAGGTATTTGTGAAACTAAACACCTACAATCTGTTCGGGCACGCAATATTAGTTGCAATGCAACTATCCATCTTCGATTAGAATGACAACGACTTCTGGATAGCCATCCATTAGAAGTTGAGTTGAATTTTAAGCATAATCACGTTATTAATTATGCAGAATCACTAAGTTTCTGTCGTGTTAACGAAAAAGTTCGTGAAGAGCTCTTAAATTCAATTAAAGATGGACATTTACCCTCTTCCACTTTACATACATATGAAGATACACTATATCTCAATGTTACAAATGAACAAGAGTTATTGAGAATTCTTACAAATTGAGCAATCAATCCTGATTACGCTTATGTTTCCGCTCTTTTTCGAAAATATAGAAAGGAAGTGCTTAGAAGCTATAATGGAGAATCTATGTTTAAACGTTTAGATTTAGTTATTGAGGAATATAATAATTCGGGCTGTGGAAAGGCTATATTACAAAAATATGATGCGCGTGTTGAAAAATCCTTTATCCTTTGTGTTGTAACGAATCTTATACGTCATGTGTATGAAAAAGTCCTCCAAGCAGGAGAAATGTGTTATATGGATACTTCAGCATCTTTTGATCCTCTTAATACTTCAGTAACACTTCTATAGTGCTCTTCCACTCAGCCTTTTTATTACATCAGACGAGTCAGAAATTACATTAGAAAATGTGGTAATTTTCCAAATTTTTTATTAATTTAATTTAATTAATTTATTAATTTTTTTTATTTATTTAATTAATTTCTTATTTATTTTAATTTTAGTTAAATTTATTAAAGACGATTCTCCCGCCAAATGCCTTTTATGAACGTGGCCCACAAGTTGGCCCAATTGTTTTTTTAACGGATGATTCGAGTACAGAACAAAATGCCCTGGAACTTTGCTGGCCAAATGGTAATTTTATTTTATCTATAAATATAAAATTCAATTGTTAAATATTAATAATTTAAATTATTATAGGAATTCGACTTCTTTGTACCTTTCACTTTTTACAAGTCTTTTGGAGGTGGCTATACGATTTGAAACATAAAATTAGAAAGAAAGATCGAGTATCTATCATGGAAAAAATGAAAAAAATCGTATATGCCTAATCGTGTTCAAAAATAAACAGGTATTATGATGAATTCAAGAAGGATTTTTATAATTATCCACAGTTGATAAAACACTTTGAATTTATGTGGGAACGTCGACAATATTGGGCTTCATTTTTTCGTTTAGGCTTACCTATGCATGGAAACAACACAAATAATTACATTGAATGAAGTTTTGATATAATGAAGGATATAATTTTCTCAAGAACACAAGCTTACAATCCTGTACAAGTATTTCAGTTTATAATTACAACTATGGAACGATTTTATGAAAGGAGATTACTTGCAATTACACATAAACATCCAGGGAATATTAGTATTGCAAAACGATTTTTATGCCCCAGCTGGGAAAAGATAAATTCAGATACGATTCAAAAGACTAATATAGAATATGAATTTTTGGTACCTGGTACAAAGAATATCAGCCTTTTATATATTGTAAATAGTGAGATCAGAGTGTGTTCCTGTCCCATTGGAATGTCCAGTGCTCCTTGTAAACATCAAAGAGCAGTTTCAATGAAATATCATATTTCTATGTTCAATTTTATCCCGTCTTTAACGCTTGATGATCGCATGACTTATGCTTATATAGCACTTGGTAAGTAATTTGTTAATCTTTTTTTCAAATAGCAAATTTGAGAGTTTAATAAATTAATTATGCTTATTTTTTTTTAGGTTATGTTGCTGAAGATAAGTCTTTTATGCATCATTGCACATGCAACCTGTCTAACAAAATCAAACTTCATATTCTGAAATGGAAATATCAAACAATACTTTAATTGTCAAGTAAGTTAAAAATACATTTTTTTATTTTTTTCTTTATTAATTAGTTATGAAATATTTTTACAATTTAATAATATTTTTATAGAGGGTCTAGAGAATTTAACGAGGAAGATGAAGGAATTGATATTTCTGAATTTTCTTCTTTTTTAGAAGTAGTTAAGTCAGATTATCAAAATTTTGATCAAAAATTACAAATTGCGTTGGATAAATTCAAAGATCGTTATAATGCAGCGAAGTTGAAATCCATACCCTGATTATGCTCCTTTCTTTATGACCTATATTGTGATTTAGACCCAACAGTTCATATAAGAAGTGGTACAAAAATACGGGTCCAAGTAGAATCGATTAAACGACGAAAAGTAGAAGATGGTGGTTCCAAGTGAAGATTACCTATTTCTAATAATAAAGAAAAAGAGAATTCAGATCCTATGGCTATTCCAGTCCGTAAAAAGAAGAAATCAGGCAAAAAAGAACACAATTTAAACAAAAATATACTAAATAATCGATTAAATTAAAGTGATATAACAAGCATTTATAATGAGAATTCGAGAATTTATAGGGAGATTATTGCTTTCTCGTTGGTTTCGCATTTTTTTACTTTTAATAAACTTTTGAAAAATTAATTTTTATTAATTATATTTATTTATTGCAATTTAAAATAAATTTCCATAAAAAATTCGCGTTTTTTTTTTTTGCTTTTTACTATGATACGGTCAAGTCAATTGACGATTACAATTAGCTGCGCCACATACTTTAAGCTATATAATCGGTGTAACCTGTCACACATTAGTGGTGTGCTCCCTCCCCTAACCGAAAAAAATGCACAAGCAAAATATATCGGGAATTAACGTTACACAGAAATTTATTTATAAAAAGAATTTGTATGCAAAAAATTAGTGGTTTTTTTTTAATATTCAAAATGAACAAACAAATGTTCAGTAGTTCTAACTTTGCAGAGAACAATAAGCTTATTTGTGAAAATGACTCCATAGTAGAATCACCAGCAGTGAGGTGGTTTAATTGGTTAGAAAAAATGAATTTGGAAAAATGGTCAGCAATAATAACGTTATTGTTTGGCATTTACGTAAGATGGGCAGTGGGTTTGCATCCATACTCTGGTAAACCTCAATGATTTAAATTCAATCATATATATATTTTTGGATCTAATTCAATAATTACTCGAATTAGAATTAATTCGCGCTATTCATCATTGAAGGTCAAAACACTCCACCCAAATATGGAGATTATGAAGCTCAGAGACATTGGATGGAATTAACATTACATTTGCCAATAAATCAATGGTATTACTATGATTTTAAATGGTGGGGTCTTGATTATCCTCCTTTATCGGCATATGTTAGCTGGATTTGTGGTAAAATGTATGAACCTTTGTAATATATGTATATTATCTTCTCTGTATAATTATGCATTTATAATATATCTTTTTATGCAGAGGATCTTTATTTAATCCAGAATGGTTCGTGTTGGACACATCGCGTGGGTTGGAAAATGAGGAAAATAAATTATTCATGCGATCTTCCGTGTTGGTTCTTGAATATTTAATATATTTACCATCAATCTTTGTGTTTGTGAATTGGTGGTTTGCCAATGATTCTTGGAAAAGGCGTGTAAGTACATTTAAGCTTGTATGATTTTAGCATAAATAGTTTATTAATATTTACTTTATTTAGGGATTAGCAATATTATTCATTCTCCTTCAGCCTGCTCTTATACTAATAGATCACGGCCATTTTCAGTGAGTTGTTGTAATACCTTCTTTTTTTTTATTATTCTTTTCACCACCATTATTATAATTTGGTGTTCTTTTTTTTTAATTATAGGTATAATTCTGTGATGCTAGGACTTACGATATGGGCATTGAATTGCTTTTTCTTTGACTATGACGTTTTAGGGAGTATTTTCTTTTGCCTGGCATTGAGTTTTAAGCAAATGGCTCTTTACTTCGCACCCGCTATTTTTGCTTATTTATTAGGAAAGTGCATAAAAAACAATACACAAGGGTGAGCGTTATTTTAAAGGCATCAATTCATATTTAACATTTATTTTTGACTCGCTTTAAAATCTTTTGATTATCTAGAATAATACTTTTTGTGAAGTTGAGTGTTACAGTGATTATCACTTTTGCTATCGTGTTTTTCCCTTTCTTAGATTCGGTTGAACATATCATGCAAGTCATCACACGTCTATTCCCCTTTCAGCGTGGTTTGTATGAAGACAAGGTAGCCAATGTTTGGTGCGCTGTAAATGTTATCATCAAATTACGCGAAATTTTTGAAATTCATACGTTGACAAAAATAAGGTAATATGTAGTTACATTTTATATTAATAGGTTTATCGATTATTATATGAGGTTAAGCTTAAATCTTTGTTTTATTTTATTATGTTTTGTTCTAGTTTGTTTACAACACTTCTAGCTATCTTACCATCATGTATACACCTCGGTTCAAATCCAGACAAACGTCGGCTTGTTTATTGTTTAGCGAATTCTTCATTGGCATTTTTTATGTTTTCTTTCCAAGTTCATGAAAAGTCAATATTATTACCCGCATTACCGATTACACTGCTGATTTTAGATGAGCCATTCTGGAGTTCATGGTTTAATAATGTTGCCGTATTCAGGTTTGATATTTTTTTAAAAAAAGAAAATAAGTTGGCTACTTTTATTTAATAGATCTTACTTTTGTGATACAGCTTGTTTCCTTTATTGAAGAAGGAGCATTTGATCCTGCCTTATTTCGTTGTATGGCTTATGTGGAATTGGATGGGTTCTTTTGTTGAGCAGAACGTGAAACCAAAAATATTAAAATATATATCTTGGGTAAATTTTTCGTCAATATTTTGTAATTCGAAAGGAAAATCAAAACATGCCTAAACTTTATGTTTTTATCCACAACAAATAGGCTTCTTATTTTGTGATGGCTTTAATTCATTTATTAGAATTTAACATCACACCACCGAAAAGATATCCTGATCTCTATACTGTATTAAATCTTACGTTTAGTTCGGGAATATATTCATTGATGCTTTTATATTTTAATTATCGGCAAATAATCTCGTATAATTTGATTGATAAAAAAGATAAGAGAAAGGTCGAATAATTAAAAGAAATTATTTCTCTGAGATGAGCGTTTTTAATTTTTATAATGATTACTTGACCTTTATAAATGATTGTTACTTTATTGTGAGATAAAATTGTTATAATCGAAAGCATCAGATTGAACAAAACAGAAAAATGGTTGATCAGTTTTTTTGTCTACAATTGATGCAATATTAAAAAAGTAAAATATACTCTTGCCAAACTCATTTGGTGTAGTATTTTTACAGCAAATGTTACAGGACTCGTATTCACAAGATTTTGAATATCGGGCAGTATTTACTTTTGAACAATTTACATTAATATTTGAATTTAATAATAAATTGTTAAATTATTTGCGGATCAAATCACATGATTTTACATCGCCGAATATATTGTATCAAATTAAGAAATTGTTTACTGTAAGTATTAAGGTTTTGTGGTTAAATAAGAATTAAGGTTGTGTAAGAATTAAGGTTTTGTACAAAAATCACGTATCAAAAAATTATCATCGATTTATTCCTTTTTTTTTTAGTATTTATAAAAATAATAATCCCTAATGGAAATAAATTCGTTCTCACATAATGAAACACGACTTTTAGTCATTAACGACGAGGTCGTACAAATTACTTTTAAGTTGCATAATGAGTGAGTCAGTGAAATTCCTAACATTTCTTTTTAAAAAATTATACATTGGTTATAATAACTTATTTTTATAGATCGGATATTTCACTCTATACAGAATACCATGATTTACAAGAAGAAATCAAAGTATTTTATAATAATTTTATATTCGGAAAATGTTTCATCTTATGTGATTAAGATTTTTTTTTTTTCTCCTTTTAGCAAGTTATTATAGCATTTGTGAAGTTCATGGACGAGGATCATATCGTTGACGGCGAAGGATATTATTTGCTTTGCAGTAATGATCTTTATTTTTTTTTATCATATCTCTTACAAGAGCAATTTTTCTAATTCAACTCTAAATATAATATAGAAAGGAGTATTTGGAATTTTGGAAAGAATTATATTTTTTATAAAAATGATCAAGAAATTCTACCTCATCAATATAAATATAATTTCGAATTGGAATTTATGAGCCAGGTTGTCAACAGGTATGTATATAGATAGAATTATAATATAATGAATTATCTTAATTTTTTTTCATCAATTATGTTATGTTAATATGCCTGTTATTATTTATAGAGGTAAAAATAAAAGTATAACTGATAGCGACAAAAATAATGATTCTATTTTAAGAGAAGTGTCTTTTGAGGATAATGCTGGAATGCCAAAGAGCAATAATAATGCTGTTAATCAAGAAATGTTACAGCATGTGACGACAAGGACCAATATTTTACCAGTTGAGAATCGGGATACGAGAAAAGGGGCAACATCGAATACAATGAACTTACGTACACCGTTATTGATAAATCGAGATAAGATACAAAGCTTCGCGGAAAATACGTATATAACACCATTTGATAATCAAAAACATATGCAAAAACCAGTTGACAGCGCATATGAATCATTATTTAATTATCGTGAATCCATGGAGAAAAACGCGTACACGACTCCGATTGATAACCGAGGGTATAAGCAGGAATTCGAGAATCTAAAATATTCAGAATTTCTACGTCGTTCTATGGCCAATACACATAGAACTACGTTTGATTATCAAGAGATCTTGGACAATGTTAGTGGAACTTTAGGAAATTTGATATTATTCGCTGAAACTTTTGAACAAGTTTTAATTTTAAAAAAAATATATAGATACTTATATATTGATTCAATCAAATCAACCTTAAGATCCTAATTGATTTTTTATTATTAGACATCTAGAGAATCATCTCAAGAATCATTCATAAGATGCAATAGGACGAGTCAAAATTCTCTTGAATCTACGTCATCTTTAGACTTTGGATCACAGACAATTTCCGGCATTTCAAAATCACAATTCACAATGCCAACAAAACAAATATCGAATAAATCTTATAGCACGGACGATCATGGTAACGATGGTGAACCTTTGACCCAAAATTCGTCGTCCATTAATTTATTAAATGAAACAGTTGAAGAATGTGAAGGTGACAATACCATTATTAGGTAAAAGCATTTTTTATTTAAGTGGGAGATTTGTTCATATAGATTTAAAATTTTATTTGCATATCTTTTTAGTATTTTCAATCCTTTAAACTATATCCGAAAAATATTTTCTTGAGAAGGATATAAGGTATGTGGTAATTTGTGTCATTGAAGATGATTTAAACTATTTTCAAAACACAATTATTAATTTCTATTCTTTTTCGGTAAAAGAAATGACATTAAATTTAAAACTATTTACATCATGCTTTACTAAATATGTTATGTTATAGACTGTACTAACTCTAAAAAAAACATATAGATGAATAAATAAATAACTGTAAATAAATAAATATTCAATAAATGAAAAACATCGTTCATATATTAATTATTATTCCTTAAATTCGCACACATTTAAAATTGTAAAGCTAATTTGGTAAGTAATAAAAATAATTTTTTTTTTTTTTTTTTTTTGTGTTTAACTACCAATTTGGTAAACACACATGATGAATCGATTAAAGTGATTAAAGTATGTAAGAAGAACTTCTACCCACGATACGTTGTGTTACGCCATGATCTAGCACCGATCGACAAAACATTACTGACCAATCATGTTTCATATTAATATTGTTAGTAATCTTGCCCGCAGTCAGTAAAACGACAAGTCATTCTGAAAACATGGAAAATCAGTATGTACGAAAAAGAGAAGATATTGAAGAACAAAAAGTAATTAAAGGAGGAAACCTTGAAACCGCATTGCCTGTTTCCAATCGACAGCCTAATCCACAGTTGGTTCCTATTCGTCCACCGTCTTTAGACCCTGAATCTTCGAAAACGAGAGTTTCTAAAATAATGAGACATGCTAATTTTTCAACGATACCTCCAAAGTCAAGTTTAACAAAATTTCATACAGGCTTTCATGGAGAATTAAGTAGTAGTTATGTAAAACTAGAAACGAAAAATCCTTCCAACGGAGGCAATAAGACCAGTCAAATTACTACAGGAACGGTTTCCTCAATTATGCCACCGGCAAATATTTCGACCGTCTCCACTTCGGATATCGCTCCAATGACACCCATGGCTCCTCCTCATACAACTGCTCCTACATACATTAAGGTCTTTCCCGCAGAAAAAACGGTAAAAGTTACGAATAAGTCTAAACTTGTTAAATTTTCACCAAAGACAACAGCAGATGATGATGAATCCGCAGTCGAATCCAAAGTGCCAACAAAATATGAAATCATTAATGGTGATGAAAAAACTAAAGGAACAACATCAAAGAAACGAAAGTTAGAGAATGAGTCGTTAAATGAAAAAAGATTCGCTTGTCCGATATGCAACAGACGTTTTACGCGTAAATTCAACATGCAGACTCACCAACTTACTCATGAAGTTGATCGAGTGAAACCTTTTCTTTGTAGTTATCCGGATTGTGAACATCGTTTCACGAGAAAACACGATCTTAAGCGTCATATATACGGTATTCATGAACTTCCTGAACACGAATTTAAATGTTTTAATTGTAGTAGAACCTTCACTAGAAAAGATGCTTGTAAGAGGCATTCACTTACATGTCATTTATTTGAGGAAATTCCCGAATATGAAATTCAAGAAAGAAGGAGGCGTAGACCTACTTCAAAGACCAAATATGCCAAATATGATCGGGAAATTAGTTTTGGACAACAAGGTACGCGTTATGTTGTTTCAACAAATAATTTTGTGGATGGATTGGAAAATAAAATCTACTTTTTCAATATGTCGACAGCAATCACAACTTTAGATCAACGTGCCTTGTCTTCAAATACCATGAAACATTCAACAGAGGACTTAGTTAATTCTTTAGATTTTGAAAGTTCTTCATCATCAACAATTGAAACAGTGGATAATTTGATGGATGAACCGATGCCTGAAGAATCGATCGATCAAATGTTTGAGGGAGATATTAATGGTAAAATGTGATTTTAATCATTTACCTTTTTTTTTGAAAAATAGCTTTTTAATGGTACATCTTTTGAATTTGAGACAAAAGGTGGAATTGGAATGCATCATTTTCGTCATTGGTTGACGTTTTTCTGTGTGTTTTTTTTTAATTTACGATGTGAAAGATTTATTATATTGGTTTTCTTATTGTTTTATATGATTTCAATATTTCCCTTCCCTTATATTATAAATTTGATTTTAAATTCTTCGTGTTTTGTATATATGTGTGATACGTAAAGGTGAAGTTTTATTATTTAGATATTGATGATAGTGTTTATAAGTAAAATGACATCTTTATAATAAAATTTTTACCTATTATATTTGACGTGTTTTATCCCTAATGAGTCCTCTTTTTATTAATAATAAATCAATCATAAAACGTAACAAATCACGTGATTTAGTCGCGTCGCTTTAATTTATCTATTGATGTACTAAAATGTGATGAAATGAGCTTGATCAAAGTATAAAAAAAACCAACAAATAATTATACTAACAAGGTAATGCATCGTCAATGAAATATATCATGTTTTTGTTATGTCATCCAGATCAACAAATTAAAATAAATATTAACTCAAACCGACTTTTCTTTATTAAACTTGTTTTTTTTTTCTTACTCTCTTTTTTATTAACTATGTCTGATACAACAAAAATATTAAAAGATATCCAAATCTCGTTGGCTATCTTGCCTGAAATCAAAACTCTTCTAGAAAAACTCACGGATGCTGTAAAGGCATTGCAACTTGTTCACGGACATGATACGATTGATATACAAGCTGCGGCACAAATGGTTAATGGATTATCTGACTCGCTTGTATCGCAAAACGTCTCTCCTATCGTAGATTCCATCGAATCGGAAGGTGATATAAATGAAATGAGTAATCATCCATTAGAAAACGAAAATGAGAATGATCAAAACGAGTTCAAAGAAGAAAATTTATCAAATTCAACAGAATTAATTGATAAACCCAAGACAAAATTGAGTTTAAATGAAAGAAAAAAATTAAGAAAAATGAAAAAAAAGCGATCTTATACAAAATTAAGCCCTGAAGGTTCTTCATCCAACTGTGAGTTGGACTTAAAATCTACACCGGAAATCCAATCGCCTCGACCATCCACCAAAGAGGTTACATTGTCACGTGCACCAGCTCGTCCTCCCCCGCGATTTCAAGTGGGTATACTTTTTAGGTCCATGAAAATTTTTTTTTTTTTTTAATAAAGTTACATTTTCTCCTTTTTTTTCTTTGTTGATTTAGTCGAATCGAACGGATACTGCGGTTCCTCTTAGAAATGACAGCAGGGATCGTCGTCAATCGACTGGCTATCAACGCGAGATGTTGAAAGATAATTGGCAACAATTAACTTCTACATTTGAAGAAATGAAATTGAAATCAGAGATTTTGTGGGGAATCCATGCATTAGGGTAGGGTATTATTATTATAAACAGCATAAATAATAATATTAATGAGAAAAAGTTCGATTTAATCGTCCTTTTTTTTTTCGTCATCTTGCAAGTAGCTACGATCAACCGACATCCATTCAGCAACGTGCGATCATGGCAATATTATCTCGTCGAGATGCTGTAATCCAAATTCCTCGATTGGAAGAAAGAACCGTAACTTACATCGCTGCCCTACTTCAACAAATTGAAACAAGTGACAAGTCATGTCAAGCAATTATAATTGTTCATTCAAAAGATTTGTGCTATGCGATTCAAGATTTAATCGATGTCATAGGTCAATTCATGCGATTTTCATGTTTGGTTTGTATTGGTGGTATTCCGGTTAGACAGGACATAGAAAAGTTGAGAAATGAAGGACACCAAATCATAGTCGGAACTCCGGGTTAGTATAAAATAATAATTATAACGGTTCATTTTGTCTGTTTAAAACGTTATAATTTACACGTGATTGAATGAAACAGGTAGATTGATTGGACTAATGTCGGATCGTAGATTCGATTTTCAACGTATTAAAACGATTATTGTTGAAGACTCTTGTATCATGTTTAACAGCAACTTTCGTTCACAAGCTTTCGACATCATTTATAAAATACCAAAAAGTGCTCAAAGGGTTCTGATGACGACAGCGACAACGTTTACCCTTGCTGATATTAAAAATAAGATAACTAATAACACCATAATCGTTCTTGATGACGTGAAAATGAGTGATGAGTTGCGATTATATTACACGGTTGTTGAAAAAGATGATCAGAAGCTCAATGCGCTATGCGAAATTTACAAGGATGTAGATATTCAAAAATCCGTAATCTTTTGTGATAATTCAGAACGAGTTGATTGGTTGTCTGACAAGCTGACAACGTTATTTGAAAACATGACCGTCTATTCCATGGTATGTAAGATAATTTTTAAGTGGAAAAAAAAAGTAAAAAACATTAACAACAAATTTTATTGTATAATTATAGCATTCCTCTACAAAACAATCAGATAGACATGAAATTGTCAAATCTTTCTGGAAAGCAAAAGCAGCTGTAATTGTAACTACAGATTGCTTCTCATCCGTCTTAGCATTCCATCCTGTAGATTATAGCGTACATTTCGATTTACCATATAAAAAGGAAGAGTACCATGATCGGTAATTTATTTATTTTAATTTTACTCCAACGTTAAAATCATGTTAAATTCTACTTTTTAACAAATACTATTGAATTTTGAAGACTTTGCTGTTGCGGTGCTTACGGTCCTCCGGGTGTGGTTATCAACATTCTTATTAAGGAACAATTATACGACCTTGGAGTTCTTGAGCGATATTATCGATTAAAGAGCCAAGAATTGCCGGTAAGAAAAAATTATTTATCACTTGACTTGAATTGATAAATTCATCAATTTATGAAAATAATAGGAAGATCGAAATTTTTCGTTGAAAGTGGAAACTTGAATACCTTTTCTTGAAAAGAATAATATAATTATATCGATATCAAAGGATTCATTTGCTATAATATGTATTATCAGATTCCTATAATAATAATAAAAAAAAACCTTGTAATATGTGAATTATAAAATAAAAACAAATAAATAATACACGTGATGTTCCATCAATTGCCGACTTTTCTTGATTATGGTTACACGAATTCATTCGTCAAAGCTTTTTTTTAAAATTTTTTTTCATTTAGATTAGGGTAAATTTAATGATGTCAAACAAGAATATAAGTGATGTTCGTGAAATTTTAGGTGTCGAAACTAGTTCAGTACTTGATAAAGTAAATTCTGATAAAAAACTTAGTCCCGTAGTTGAAGCTATAAATAATGCTAAAAAAGAAAAAGAAAGAAAAGAGAAGAGAAATGAGAGAAATGAGAAAAGAACATTTAAAGGTATATATAGCCTTCAGGATCATTTAACTATTAAATAGGGTGATTTTCCTTGATATTTAAAAAATTTTGAACGATTAATAGACACACCAGTCAGTCGGGAATTATCAGCGTTAGTTGGACATCACGTTTCAGTTGCTTTTGAACGAGCAACTGCTTTAAAAGCAAAACCAAATCTACATAAGGCGGTAGGCAAATGGTAATTCGATCTTAAATCATTGAATGATGTGTAATTTTCATTTATATTGTAGAAAAGAAAGATTTACTAAAAATCATTTCATCACCTTCCCATAGGACATGGAACAAGTATCTAAACCCTGCTAGAAATGATGATCTGATGCTTAGTCATTGGACAAAAGAGAATACGGAAGAAGGTATTTGAATCAATGAAAAGGTTTTACATACGAAACTTTATGCTAATTGTTAATTTCATTTAAATTTGACAAAGAAACAATTAGTTTTGCAGACTTTAATAAAAAAGTTGAAATCGAAGAGTATACAGACGAAGAATATGAAAAGTATTTGAAAGGTACAGGTTAGATTTTATTTTATTTTTATTTTTAATTTATGAAAATTAATTTTCATTGATAATAATAGATCGAGATTGGAGTAGAGAAGAAACTGACTATTTATTTGATTTATGTCGAAAGTATGATATCAGATGGACTGTAATCCATGATCGTTACTATTGGAAAGACAAGAACAGGTCGATGGAGGTAATTAAACCTTTATATGATTACCCTCATAAGCATGCTCATGCTTCATATGATCTTGTATTTTAGGACTTGAGAGATCGATATTATTCTGTCATTAAAAAAATTTTACAAGTACGACCAATAACGCCTGGTAGTCAAACTGACAAGGGTCAACAGATTGCATTAAATAGTTATGATAAAGGTATGTAAATCATATCACATCATATCAAGTATCAAGTATCAAATCCTCCTTTTACTCATTCATTAAATGAATTACTTTTAGTTAAAGAGGAAAAAAGGAAAAATATGTTGCTTCTTTTATACTCACGGACAAAAGAACAAATTGAAGAAGAAGAAGCATTACAAGAAATAAGTGATCGTATTCAGGCAAATGAAAAGAAATTCATTAGAGAAAGGGAGGCCTTAATGAAACAATTTACAGTAGAAGTACTTCAACCAAAGCGAAAGAAATCACTACTTAGCGGACCTACAACTCCTACAGTAGAGGCGAGTGGTTCAGGTTTTCATAATACCTCTGATTTACCCAAAAAAAATCGTCGTACATCGGCATCATCTGTTGGTTCGATTGCGATCGAAGGTAAAATTAAATATAAATATATATATATATTGTCTTATTTTGAATTATAATTCATTTTATTTATTTATTTATTTTTTTACAAATGAACCCTTTTGATTCGCGTGAACTAGCTCATTCACCAAAAGAAATTCATACCCCAATTGTACTAAAGAAGGAAAAACTCACTCCGGGTGTTTTGGTACGAAGTCAAAAGATTCCTATACCAAAACAAGCCTTATTACACAAAGTTCACAAGGCTTTACAGGAATTTGGTTTGGGACCACGCCCGACCATGCCAACAGAAACCGTTTGTGCAAAATTTACCGAATTACAGAAAATGACACAAAACCTATTAGATCTCAAGAAGCTGGTTGATAAGCAAGAGCATGAATTAAAACTCAAACGGGCGACGCTTCAAAAGGTTTTATTGGCTTCAGGGGGGGAAAAGGCAGGAAATAATGTTCAGGATGGAGTTTCGACTGACGGATACAATGACGCGAGTACCATTCCAGTAAGTTAAAAGGAAATGATCTAATGTAATTTATTTACTTGCTGAAATTTTATTATCATTATAAATCAGACAAAGAGAGATAGAGGATCACTTCCTGCTACACCTCGAGATATTAAACGAGCGCGAAAGTGAATATTATTTTTATTTATTTTGAGACTATTACAGATAATTTATTTTTTCTATTACGATGCACTGGATATTTATTAATATGGTTGACCTTTAAATTTATATTAGCTGACTCTATTGAAAGATACATAATTCTATAGGTATCATATGAGAGATTTTATTTTGGAAACCTTTAATTAGATTAAGATAATTTCTATGAATTAAAAAAACTTTATATATGTAAAATTAACAATTATTTTCCTCTTAATGGTATTACGATAATTTTATCGGAAAATTCCCCCCAAGCAATTCTTTGGTTTACAAAAATGCCATACCAAGTTGAAAGCGCGATAAACCAAAATAGAGCACCTGCCATTGAGAAATATAAATCTATAAAAAAAAAAATTTTTAATAAAAAAAAAGAATAGAAAAATAAAAAAGGAACATAAAAAAAATTTGAAATATTTACACTTTTTTATTTCTTTACCAATATCTGAACGTTTGGTTAAAGGCCACATGTAAATTACATTAACAACCCATAACCAAGGTAAGAATAAAAAACCTATGTAAAAGAATTTTTTACATAAGGATAATATTTCAGGAGGAGTTGTTTTTGAGGGATTTGGAGGCATGTTGAGTTTTTTTTATTCAAAGAAAATAACACGATAAAACGGTTTTAACTTTCTCATGTAACACGAATTATATTCGCTAACCAATTGAACTAAAGTATCAAAGGGTTCATCAATAAATCGTCATGGTGATTTACCGTAAAAAGTTAACAATGGTCTGTCAATAACTTTCTTGCGAAAATGAACTTACTTTCTTATGGGAGCAATTGTATATTTAAGTAGAATTGAAACTTTTTCGGCAGCACATCGATTGCATTCTTCGTCTTTATCAGACAAGGAAAATAAAGAAATATTTGGAAAATGTAATAATCCTAATAGTCATGGACACAATTACAAAGGTAGGTACGCGATTCGGTTATGAATTGAATCAATTAGAAAATTTACTAACTTTTGAAATTAGTTGAAGTAACGGTGAAAGGAGAGATTAATCCAATAACAGGTATGGTTATGAATCTAATGGATTTAAAAGAGTGCTTAAAGATAGCAGTCATGGATATTTTGGATCATAAGAATCTGGTAAAGACCTTTTCATTATTATTCATTACTTCTTTTGATATATTGTTTATCTAATGTATTTTGTATCATATAGGACCTTGATGTTGAATTTTTTAAAGATAAACCTAGGTAAGAATACATTCTTTCAGAAAAAAGAATTTTTTTTTTTCAATGATGTATTTTTTTCATATAAAACTGCGTTATCTAGCAGAACTGTGAAAATGTAGAAATTTTTTGGTTCTGAGAAATATTGTAACAAGAACCTTTTAATTTGTCTTTTAATTTGTCTTTTAATTTTTAATTAACGATATTTTTCTTGGATTGATAAATCTTTAGTACATCGGAAAATTTAGTTGTTTTAATTTGGAATAATATCAGTCAAAAATTAAAAGGTGATGGTAAATTATATGAAGTGAAATTATATGAAACCGATAAAAATTTTGTAGTTTATAGAGGTGAAACTTTAGATTCATAAAATAATCTAATATTTTAATATTTTTTTTGTATTCTAGTAATATAATATGTAATATGTACATAGATATTTATAGATATTTACCAATAAAGGAAATTAATTAAATTCCAACATTTATTTATAAATGGTTAAAAAGAAATTTTTACTGCGGCTAGAATTCTGTTACTTATTCTTTGATCACATGAGAACAAAATTTGAATGAATTATAGACTATTTATTAAAAAATTATTTAATTTTTTTTCTATAATAAGAACATGGTTTCGTGGTGTAATGGTTAGCACCCAGGACTTTGAATCCTGTAATCCGAGTTCGATTCTCGGCGAGACCTGTTTAATTTTGATTTTTTTGAACAAAAAAAAGGAGTTAGGCTAAGCTAAATTTAGGCTAAAATACAACTTAATGTTAAACAAAAAGATTTGTTTAAAAAAAAAGAGAAAAATATGAATTACGAATTTTTTTAATTCTCACCTTTTCTTTATTATTGAAAATTCAAAACACGTATATAAACTTGATTTTTTTTTTATCGTTAGGGTAAAAAACAGATGGTATGTTTTTCCTAATTGATAAAATCATGTGATGTATGACATATTTTTTTTTTGACCTCACGAAGTTCTCGGATTATGATCATCTTTTTTAGTCAGATCTGCTTAATTATATGAATCTCCTATCGCTAACGCTATGATTCGCAATTTATTTCGAGAATCCCCACGAACACTCACTTTATTTATATAATTATCGACTAAAATCACCTAACGACGAAAAAAAAAAATTTTTTTTTATAAAAACAAGAAAATTTTTATTTTTCGTCTCAATATATCATTTTAATAATAATAAACTTTATTTATTGATTAAAGAAAAAAAGGATAATTTCGTCTATCGATAAATTTTAACAAATAAACAAAATTTTCTCATGCTTTCCTTTTCTAGCTCCCTTATTTTAATTCCTTTCAAATAACAATACATTTATTTATTTAATTTTGCGATATTTTACTTAAGAAAACAACTTGCTTGAAAAAAGTTATTTAATTTTACGAGAAATATTTATAAATTCAATTTACATCCATTTAGTTGGAAAATGCAAAGAAAATTGGCCGAACTACTTTCTTTGTTGAAAGATAAATATCTGTTTCATGATGAAACAAACAAAAATATTCTGTATAATCATGAGATTGAGAGATTTGCCAAACTTTATCATATTACCAATTTTTGCCTTGTGCTTTCATGTTATGATTCATTTTTTTGGTTAAAAGATCCTAATAGCGGTCTCGTATAGATAGAATGATGATACGTAAAGGATGTGATATGAAAGAGGCTCTGGTAAACTTTCTTTTTCAGGAGGAAAATCTTTGCTACATTGAAGAATACACACTTAAATTGATACCAGTAAAAAAAGCTAATGAAGAAGCTGAAAAATGGTATGAAGAAAATAAACATACTACAACTACATTTGTGGTAACTGATGAATTACTAAAACCATTAGAAGAAAAAAAGAAAGGATCCAATAAAGATGAGAAACAAAAGAAGCGATGAAGAAGAAAAAATAAACATTAATTGTTTTCGCCTTCTCAAATGATTTAGAAATATTTGATTTATTTACCATTTATTTTAGTCATTTTTAGTGTTTGTTTTATTTAGCTTAATGAGTTCTTTTAATTAATGTAAATAAAGAGATATGTGAATTTGCAGTGATTCTTTTTGCAATTAAGAAAAATTAAGTGAAATATGTGTATGGCATGCTTTCAAGGGAATATCCTGCGCCATACTAATTTCACTTTCTTACATTTCAGAAAAATTTCTATTACTATTGCTAATATGCTAACTACGAGATTCTCATACATCAGATTTCCGATCCCGCCCACTACCCAATTTTCGCTTGTATCTCAGATTTGTAGTATAAATTCTGGAGTTATCAAGAAATAAAAAATAAAATAGTACTGCAATAATTTTTACCATTATACTTCATTTTCATAATATACAGTACTACCCTGCGTTGTAATCAAAAGATTCATCGTTATAGCGGTATGTAATAATTTATATTTTTATATATCGCACCAGGTTTTTCTTTTCCAATATCATTGTCGCATTATCAAGGTACAACCATGAAGATTCTTCACGATCAAAAATTACATGAGTATTCAGGTCAAAAATTTTGCAATTTTTATTAATGTAAAAAATAAATACAAGGGTCGCTTAAAAGACAAATTAAACTAAATTTTCTACAATTTGAAGAAGCATTAAGTTTTTGGGTTGAAAAAGCTGTAGATAATAATTATATTATATTATTAGTAGTATATAAAATCTATGTGCACAATGTGCACATGTGCATATTAATTTTTTGTGTATACATATTATACAACATAAATGTGCATGAATTATTACTAAAAATAGATAAATTATGTACAAAAAAGGTAATTTACATAAGAAATTATTATGATGTTCTTATTTTACACATATATTTTAACTTAAATTTTATACATTGACTATTAGTGGTAAATTATTAGTACAAAAAGCACATAATTTTGCAACATTACTTGATGTATAAGACTTCAAAAGGTCAAATAGATGGTTGACAGGTTTCAAAAAATGGCATAATATTACTTGAGATATGAAGAGGCAGCAAGTGTTTTTTTAAAAGATTTAAATAACATGCGTAAAATTCTTCAAAATATTCTTAAAGATTATTCATCTAATGATATATTTAATGTGAATGAAACTGGACTTTATTGGAAAATGAAACCAAATTAGACTTTATCTATTAGATCAGGTAAAAATTAATGGTAATTAATATAAATTTATATAAATAATTATATAAATTTAAAATAATACTTATATTAGTTACAAGTCGAAAACAATCTAAAAAACATATTACTGTTGCATTGTATTGTAATGCTTTAGGAACTGAAGAAACTGAAAAAGCCAAAGTAGTTTTTATTAGAAAAAGTCAAAATTTACGTGTCTAAAACATATTTTAAAATTGTTACTACCTGTTTATTATTATTGGAATAAAACAGCTTATATGTAAGTTAATATCTGAAATGATTGGTTAAAACTTTTGATGCATATATAAGACTTCAGAATTATCATATAATCTTACTTTATAATAATACATCTACTCATATCTTATATGAGAATACCACACTCTCTAATATTTGTTTATATAAATTACCTTCTAATATAACAACATATTTCCAACCATATGATACTAGAATTATTAAAAGTTTTAAAGTAAGTAATATTAATATAATTCATATAAAATAATAAAATCAACTACTATTATATAATATATTAATAAATATAGGTACATTATCAGAAGTTATTTTTATAAAATTGTATTAAAGCATTTGATAATAATCAAAAAACTGGTTGAACTATAACTAAAATTACAATAAAAAAGACAATTAAATATGCAGAAAAAGCATGGAATTTGGTTTAACCAAAAATAATTATAAATTATTAAAGAATAACAAATAATCTTCTGCTAAATACTGATGATAATAAAAGAATCAATGTTGATGATTTTGTTAATTTTATATATTTTGATGAAATCAATATATTGAAATAACTGAAATACAAGATTTTATTGTTTAATTGACTCCTAATATATATAAAAATCCAATTCTCGCTAAAGAATATTTGCATATAAAAAAGAAGAAACAATTTATCAGATGATAATGGATAAGAAAATTATAGAATTAATAAAAGAACTAAAAGAAGAACCAAAAATGAAGAATCAGAAATTTTTAATATTAATAATTATAAAGTATTAATAGCACTTAACCAAATAATTATTTATACAGAACAAAAATCTGATAAAATTAATTTTCTAAAAAATCAAATTCAGATAATAAAAAATTGCATAAAGCTGTAGAATAAGAAGAATTTCATTCTAAATAGCAAGTTACCTTAGATTCATGTTTGAAAAATAATATTACTAATAAAGAATAAATTTATTCTATGATTGTAATGAAAAAAAAGAATTTACAAACTTTTTTTTGCAAGTTACGCTGAATTTATATCATAAAAATAGCAAACTTATTTATCGCATCTGCTACAAATATTAAATATTGTCTCATATAAAGTCACGTGATATATTGTAACTTCAACAATTGTAAATTTAATATCATTTATTAAGTAAACATGTAAAAATGTTAAATCACTTTCACTTTATTATTATATAATAATGTATTATTACTATAATAAATCACAAATTATTAATTTTTTACATTTGCATTTTTCTTATTAGGACATTTAGGAGCATAATGTCTTGTTTTATGACATAAATTACATTTATGTCTTCCAACTTCATTTTCTATTTCTTCACAACTAATATTAACCATTTGACTATTGCTGGTATCTCCTACTTTACTATGTATCTTATTAAAAGCTTTGAATCATTTATTAGGAGGTTTACCTTTACCACAACAAATAGTTGGATCTTTAACATTATTTACATTATAAACCCGCTCATTATGCAACTTCACAGTATTATTTGAAGGATGAAATACTTCAATAATGGTAGAATGATCTTTAGCTTCATATTCTTCAACTTTTTTAACAATATAAGATAATATAAGATCATCTAAATTATTCTCATCATCATTATCTAATGAATAATTTAATACTTGTTTAAAATAACCTATTATTCTACTATAATTCATTTTTTTTTGCACTTGATACTGAACCTGAACTTTCTAAATATTATTATAATGCCTAGGTATAAGTACTTGTTCATTATTAATAGCAGAAATATATTGAGATAATGCATTAATAAATGGTTCGCAGTATAAAGAATCAATATTTTTCCACACATTATCTTATAACTATCTTGATAGCATTAACATAGTGTGAAATAAAGCATTCTGATTTTCAACCATTAATTTAAAGTAGTGACAACAGATAATTCCATGAGAAATTAACAATAAGCATGTATACAAATGGGTACCATCATTAAGAATTATAATATGTTGATATGATTTTGGTGTAATATAAGCAACTATTCGCTATACTTTCTTAATAGATTCTCTTAGAATTGAGTTTAATAATGCATTTAAATATAATTGATAAAAATCATAATATTCTTCAGTAATATTGATTTCATCATCTTTCTGGATGCTAGATTTATTATTATCTATTATTTGATTCTAAATATAATATAATAATATTAGCTAAATCTAAACCAACCTTAGCCTTAATTCCCACTCTAATTCCAAATCCTAATCCTAATCCTAATTCTATACCCTAATTCTATACCCTAATCCTAAACTCTAATATCACACTCTAATCTCATAAACCCTAATTCTAATACTAAGTTAATTCACTTAAATAATCTTTATACATACCAATTTATCATCTTTAAATTCAAAAGCATTATTAATCTCCAATTTGTCACATTTATAAAGTAACAATTTACACATTTGCTTATGAATTTCTTCAATGATTTATGGTAATAAATGCTTTTATATAATATTGTTAAGTTTGATAAAGAAAGTTTCCATAACAAATGGCTGATGATACGCCATTGATTTATACTTCCATGCTAAAAAACTTTTATTTAAAGCTTCTTTTTGCATCCAAATATCTATAGCCTCATTTACATTAAATATAATAGAACTAGACACTACTGTCTTATGAATAACTGAATTAATTGATTCAACACGTTGTGTAGATTGCATGCCAGCTGTAAATATTCTATTAATAAATAGTCGAGCTCATGATTGACACGATGAATAAATTGTATAATATAAATATTCATTAATACTAGGATATTTATCAAATAAAACTTGAAATCTTTGCTCAAATACATCTATACATAATGAATTTCATGTCTTCCAGAAATCATTAATAAATATTTTAAAGTTGCAACTCCAAGCTTAGATTTAAAACATTTAATTAAATTTTGAGATAAATGTCATATACAATAGATATAATATGTATTTTTATATATAGATTGACATACTACATCCATTGCTAAATCCATATCTGTTAATATAACCTGTGATTCTATACCCGTTACATTTAATGTCTGTTGTAAAACCATTCATAACTTTCTTGAGTTTTATTATTTAAAAATGCTGTGAACTTATACATGATTTACTATTACAATCAACAAGAATAAAAAATGATAAAGGATAATTATATTTGTTAGTCCTTACTGTGTTATCATGTAAGATAACATCTGAATAGCGTGACCATAACATGATTTGATTTGCTGACATCTAAAATATACCACTTAATTTATCACTATCCTGAATAATTAGAGGCTATATAAATATTGTGGGTTCTTCTTTTTGTTTGTTAAGAAAAAAATTCAATAATTGAGAAGCATCTGATCCAACAATCTTTTTTCACGTTTGATTTTCTGAATTGCATTGGATAAATCTTGGGTGAAAAAAAGTTGGTTAGAAAAAAGAGGTGTTAGTTAATTTCTTATAATATATACATCACAATGTTCATGTACAATGGCATGTTCTATTTCAAACATTACAGCTTCATCAAACTTTCGAAAAGATAGAGTAAATTTTATATTATCAGCATTAATAGTATAATTAAATTCGAGATAAGCAAAGGTTATGTGTACATTATCAGTGCCTTTAGGATTACTCAAATTGACATGCCATTTATAATCTGTTTTTTAGAACCTTTATTATATTGTTAACCAATGGTTTTATTTTGTTAGGCTTATACTTTCTAGCCTTTTCATAATCTGATAATGGATTCTTATAATATTCAACTCTATAACAATTAATCACAAAACCCTTCAGCCTTTCATATTCCTTCAAATAATACTCAGCAATGTCCTAAGAACAAAATTTAATCCTAATATATAGTTCTATAAGTGAGGTTAGCAAAGGATATTGAGTAAAAATGGGAACTGTAATTAATATGTTGCAACTTTTAATGTTGCAACTTACGTTGCAATTAGTTTTAACCTATATATGTTGCAACTTATAATATTGCAACATATGTTGCAACTAATTTTAGCTTATGTTGCAATATTTTGTAAATTTGAAATCAATTGCTGTACCATCTTTAATATTGAGTATAATCTAACCCTTCCAAATCTGACCCAAGAATAGGTTCAGTAGGAAAAGTTTCGATCTTATCTATTTCTTCATTGTCTATAAATTCTGTATAGTTATAATATACATTAGCACAAGTTTCTTTAATAAAATACAGAACATAAGTCTTATACTAACCTAAGTTATCTTCAAGTTCGTAAAATTCATTCTCAACTGGAAAAGTAAAAAAAAGTAAAGAGAAATTGTTAGAATATTGAAGTATTTAAACTAACATACCTATTTTTTATCTTGAGAATAGTTTGAATTAATTTCCATTTTTTTGAGATGTGTAACATTATAAAAGAGTTGTAGGATGAGAAATGTAAAAGGATATATTAAATGTAGGAAAAATTAAAAGAAGACAACGTGATTATTCAAAATAAATTACATTATATTAAGATCATATGAAGACAACTTATTTATTTAACAAAAAAATTACATCATATTAAGGTCACACAATAATTAATAATAAAGTATATGTGCAATAATCGCAGTAACAGTATGATAGTATCACATATGCTACATATAAATTATCTCGATAAAAAATATGTAGGAATGTTAAATAAATCAGTTTTACACTAGATAATTAGTTCAGCTAAAATTTTAGCTATAGTTTTAATTATATAGTAAATCAAATTATAATGATTTAATAAATTTCTATAGGATTAATTAGTGTTAAATCTCAAATTAATTAGTGTTTAATCTAAAATTAATCAATATTGAATCATTTGAATCAGTGATGATTAATTTGTTAATAAATATATTTAATTTCTATAATTCAAATTTGAAATTACTGAAAATTTCAATTGTAAAACTGTAAAAATTACGCAAATTTTAAAATTGCAAAAATTTCAATTGCAAAAACTACATAAATTTTGAAATTACTAAAAAATTAGATTGCTTTTTTGAATTTATGCATAAAATTAGATATTTTGTTAACTCATTAAATGTATTTGAATATTGACATATTTCAATACAATTTTATATAAGGAAAATTTTATCACATATTTGTTTTTTAATTGTTCAATCTTATATATTAACAATTTTTAAATTTTTCCTTCTTTAACAAATTACAAATTCCAAAAGTATTCACTACAATTGAATGGTCTGATTAAAAAATACAATATTTGATTGACTTAAGAAGGGAAAGGAATAAAGATTACTAAAGAAGATTTGAAAGATCAAAGTTATTTTTTTAAAATAAGATTATAGCTATACATGAAGTTGAAATGGATCATTTCAAATATCCAAAATGGTTGAAATAGTCAAAATTAAAGATGAGGGATGAAACCCAAAAAAAAGCAATTAATAAACAGCTGAAATGATATTAAAACATAGTGAGGGATACAACAAAACCCAAAATTAACCAAAACTATATTAAAAACATAGTAAGGGTATGATGAAATTATTTTGAGGGAGTTTTAGCAAGCATATTTAGTCAAAATCATTTTTTTTTTGATACTTTTACTAGGCACGCACAAGTGGTACTATATTTGGATGCATACCCTTCAACA